CATTATGCTCCCCTAAGAATATACCGTTGATTTATTCCCTCATATAAAACTCCATCTAAGATTAATATAAGTACGCCAAATTTTGATTATGTAACCTCTTAAACCTATAGATTAACCTCAATAAAAAAATTTCTAAGCCCTCTATGAACTTAAAAAAAATAATGTCTCAAACAAAGACTGTCCAATTTTTAGGGGGTGGGATCTAAGTATTAGGGAACTCAAATTTTAGACTTGTTTTTTGAAAATAATTGTTGAATGATTCTTAGGAGTTTTCAAAAATTTCATAGTGAAAAAAATCCTCCTAAAAAAGTCTTCTAACTGAGGGAGTAAATGTACACTATCCTCCGGCGGCGTTCTTTTCTTTTGGATTTTTTATGTATGAATTGTTTTCTAAACATAGGGATGCAACTCCATGTGCGACCCAATTCCAAGATGTACGCTCAAACCATAGGATATCTTGAATGGCCATTATTCAATAATTAAAATTTTCTTGTAGCCCCATTTTTAAATTTTTTCCTTCAATGTTTGTTTACTATTATTTGGCTTTTTAATGATAGGCTTATAAATCTTTTGGATTTTCTATCAAAACGTAGGGGTCCACAAGGCCGACAGTCACAGCATTGGGTACCTGTGCTTGTAAGATTTTCTCCAAGTTTAGTCCACAAATGGTGAAATGACTTTAATAAGAAATAGTTTATTGCTTTCTTATTTAGTTAGAAAGGTATGGTTTTCTATTGTTGAATAGCATATCATCTCTTCAAAATAATTGAAATTGGTGGTTAGTGGAGATAATGCTGCTAATGAAATCGAGATTATCGCTTTGGCTCTTGATTATATAGTCCTAAGACATAGTTGAGACAATAGAAAGCTAATTGAACAATAGTTATCATGAAAAGATAAAAGTCGAGGGATCTGATTTTGATAAGGTAGTTGGGAGTGAGTAGGGAACAATATCATAGGCTACTGCCCAATTGTATTTATCAAATCCTAACTAACGTATAATAGTAGCGTTTGTTCAACTTCAATGATCAAATGGGTGGATACCTCAAAATATATAAATTATATGTGTATGGAGATATATAAAAAGCTTGTAGTCAAAGGGGAAACCCATTGTATTACATGCCAAATACTAAATACTATCAGAAGTTTCAACAATTGGTTATGATGAAACATATAGGAGAATACCCACAATTATTGTACTAATACAGTACACTTTAATGGATTTTTAGAAGTCCTACAATTTTTTGAAGCAGTTGCTCTGGATGCCACCAGAAAACTTTGTTGTCCGTAAAGTCTTACTCTAGGTGATGCCGCTTGTCCTTGCCCTTAACTAGGGCTTCATTGGTTGAGAAAGGATATCTTATGTACATTAGCGGTTGGCGGGCTGATGTCTCAACGTAATGTCCTACCTTCTGTTCTTGCCATTAACATGTCAAAAAAATAAAAATAAAAATAAAAATCTCGTGTTAATAGAGCATCTTAACCGTAGAATTTCTAAATAGTTTAGAATTTCATGATCCGCTGTCACTAGCTTGGCTAGTCAACATATACAATCTATCACCGAGCATTTTGGAAATGGATGATTAAGATTGAAAGAACTCGTGTGATCTAGCCATAGTATATAATATATATATATATATATATATATATATATATATTTTCAATTTTTTATCATTCCTTCACGGTCTAGATCACTTACAAGTAGTCTTTTTACAATATAATAACATCAAATAAAGATAAAATAAAATAATACAATAGGATTTCAAGAACTTGAAGCCATTCAAAACATTTCTTTCAATAACAAGAAAAATACATAACCTATGCTTGGGAATAAAAGTCACAATAAATAAAGATAGAAGAAACAAAAGAGGGTACCAGAGATTACTTCAACTGGATCTAGTACATCCCACGCCGAGTCTCCTCCGTCTAATGGTGTTCGGGATCTTTGATTGGTCTCTTGATTTTTTCTTCTTATGACAAAACCCAATCAATGCACATGGATCTCGGTCTACAACCATCCACCTAAAACCTCAATGCTTAGGCCTAATTTAAGCCTCTTGGTTTGATCCTTGTGAGATATAGAAATCAAGAAATGAGGGAGAAAACTACTAACTAGGGATGATCCATTTGCTGCCCACAAAATCACATAATCAAATGGTAACTTGATTTAGAACCCATGAGAAAGATTCAAGATTAACCTAGCCTAGTTTGAGCGTGCCCCCCTTAGGATAGTTTGTGAGAGAGATATGTAGGCTAAGGTGGGGCGTGGCCCTTTAGGTTTCTTGGAGAGAGAGAGTAACCTATGTGGGGCGTGCCCCTTAGAGAGGCTAGAGAGAGATAGATTCTATTTTAGAGAGAGAAGAGAGAGTAAGTAATAGATGTAGAGACAAGGGAGGAGAATGCTCAATTTTATAGATTTTTAATAAAATCATATGAGCAAATCTTCACCGTCGAGCTAATAAGACTTGTGGGGTGAGAGATGTGAGTCATTCATTCCTTAAATCCATCATCAATATGCTAAAGAAAGTGCTAGAACATTATCTTCCCCTTCCTAAACTTATTCCTATCAATATTTATTTACTTTATCTAATAGTAAATATTCATTCTTTATTTCTCAATCAAACCTTATTGATTCTCAAGATTCTCTAAAATCATGCTTATGGGCTTAGTTTACTTAAAACTTCATAAATGAATTTCTCTTGATTTATAAATTCAAATGACAAAAATTAAAATATCAGAAGATTTATAAAAATTCAAATAAACATTCCAAAAGTCAAATGACATAAAATTAATTAAATTAAATTGTTTTTATGGGAATTGGATCCAAATATGTCTAGGATTTAATCAACGCATCAGTACTCCACCTTCAACTGTGGACCACGATCCACACTAGCTTTCTCAAACTGACTCAGTAGTTCTTATGACCTACAGTCCACTGCAGGGCATCATGATTGGACTGCCAAAATCAATCAATGGGCTAGAGGACGGAATCCCAGTCTGTGGATTTTAAGTTATTCTCTAGAGACAAACTTTAACTCTATGGTGTATAAAGGTAATCTCTTGCACATGTACACGCTTCACTCTCAACGGTGGATTACTATCTCAGTACAGTTATAAATGTACATGTCGTATGATAATACAACGATGAGATTTTAGTCGTCTCTATAGCCTATTCATCACATTCAAGGGTCATGCAATCTCTCGGCTCTCATCTGGGCATACTCCGACCCCCACTAAACCCTCATCGGTTTCATCTCTATGCCCAGGTACCTTGGATTTTCTAACTCAGCTGGCCTAGCACGTCAAGTCTAATCAAAGTATCGGCAAATTGTATTTGCCTAATATGGTCCACAAGAGGACCACACTCCTATTGATTTTATAATTCATTTATTCAAATGTTTATACAATTTCTCTTAACGTCTTTAAATACCAAATAAACCCAACAAAAATATTATACAAAAGTATTCATGCATGGCACGCATTCTTAATTTTTATCCCTTGTGGCTCGTCCATAGCTTAAGCTCTCGTCTCTCTTTCTAAAACTGCCGCTTACCCAAAATTCTCTTGTGGTTTGATAACAAAACAAGTGTTTTTAAATCCCGCAATTTTCTATCCGGATCACCAAAAGGGATAGCAATCCAACATAACCGAAACGGTTTTAGAATCCCTAGTTTCCCTCCAAACCTCCTCCTTAAATATTTGTTCAAAGTTTATTTAACATTTGTTTAGGTTCTTCCATATCCCCGCCCTATAAACTCTTATTTTCATTTTATTTTATTTTATTTTATTTATTTTTTACTTTTTTTTTGGATCACCAATTTAAATGGATCCAGATCACCGATTCAATGGTCCGACACCGATCTACGCGTCAACAACCCACCCACCAATCCGGGTCTTAAAACATTGTTCGATAACTAATCAACAATTAAGGTCAAATTAACGTTTAACGAACCATCCGCTCGAAGCACTTGTCACATTAAACTAACTTTTAAGGATGCTTTGAAAATGCGTTACCACTACCTAAACTGATTTACTAATCAGAATTTATGAAGTCCCTTTAATCTGAATTTACGCATTACTTACGATACTTAATAGAGCACTCCCCCTCGCTCTCTGCAGGGTGGCAACGGGTCCGATTGGGGGACCCAAAAATTAAAATATGTATTTAGTTAACTATAATTAAATATATATATATTTATATATTGAGACTCGAAACACATTACTGAACCGAGATCGAAATGGTGCTCGGGTCTAAAATTTGGACAAAGACCCAACCTGTTAGGTCTAATTTTTAGATCGATAACTAGAGCTAGATCAGATCCACCCTCGGTCCCCGTCGGACCCCAGATCCACCCTCGGACCCGATCGGGTCGTGGCCCGATCATGTGGGCATCCCTATCGGTCTCTCTTCTATTGCAGATGACTAAATTTCTCTCTCTCTGCAGTAACATGATCTCATCTGTCTGTCCGGGAGCAGCCATTGGCACATCTCTCTTAACTTTTGAAGGTAAAAAACAAGCGGCACTCCTATCCTCCCCCATACTAACACAAACATTTGTCCCCAAATAAACAGACACATGCACATGAATCAATGCACAACCCACTTCTAAGAAAGAGGAAAGAGAAAGATGAAAGAAGAAGCAGTAGCCCCTCAAAACCAAACGCACGCCACAATCCACGGTGAAAAAGAACTAAAACGACAAGTTTTCAAATAAAAAGTAAACATAGAGAGAGAAACATTGTCCCTTGTGAACACGCTTGAAAATCTAAATTTAACTCGGTTTTCTAACCCAAAAAAAAGTCATTTTAATAGAGAGAGTTCTTGAGCTACTAACTACACTAGTTTTTTAGTGAGAAAGAGAGATGTATAAAACAATCAATTTCTACTAATATTTCCTTTTAATCTTCATCAAAACTGAACGTGATCTATCCTAGAGAGTGCTCTAGAGCTAATCTTGTTAGATTTTCTGGAGAGAGAGAAAGAAAATATCACAAACTACTAAAAATCCATTTTTATTCATCAAAACAGAACATATCATATACGTATACATAGATATAATAAATCCTCAGGCAAAGAGCCAATGCCTCTTAAGATCAAACCCCACAAAACCCCAGTTACAAGGAAAATAAATAACAAATACAATATTCTCACACTGTCGAATGTCTCCATGCTCAAACCGTGTCTGAGCTCCACCTTGTAATCCAAAGAAGAGAACTAAGATCTAGAGAGAGAGAGGGTATCTCATTAGGGGAGGTCTAGGGAAGAGAGAATGGGAGATAGAGAGAGAGAGCTTCCTTCTAAACATCTCTATCACTAACACACTCAGTTGGCATGGTTGGGATCCTTGCCCTATCAGTACAGTAATTGTAGATTGTATATTTTTCCCTGACCCATTTAAGCCTCCTGTATTGAATCCCATCCAAATCCTGGAAAGCCTTTTGATCCCACCACCTCTTCCCCTGTGTTGCACACACAGAGTCTTTGGCGTCGGCTTCGCAGCCATCGATGTGGAAGCCTCTGTAAGAGGCGATGAAGGGGGCCTTGCTCCAGTCGGTTTTCTCGAGCCCGCCGCGAGTGGCCCAGTCGTCTGCGTTCCAGAGGCTGGAGTACATCTTCATGGGCTGGTTGAAGGGGAAGCGAACGCCGATGTGTTTATTGTTCTTGAAGATCCTAATGGGGACTTCATCCACGAAGAAGCTGGACCAGAAATATGGAAACCATTTTAGAGAGAGAGAGAGAGAGAGATGTGAAGCATAGGATACATAGGACTATGTGGCATGCCCATTGAATGAGAAAGAGAGAGAGAAGGACCTAGGCATCGATACTTAGAGAGAGAGACAGACAATGGGAGTTTAAGAAACTATCGGTTTTATTTTAGAGAGAGAGAGAGAGAGTATTGGTCGCTTACACAATCTGATACATGTTCCAAAGAACAGCATAAGAGTGGTAATCTTTAGTTGGATCGAACCATAGATATATCCTCTGTTCTCTGTTTCCCGCTCCCCCTGTGAACACATTTGTCTGCAAAATATATGGCTGCCCACTCCTGTTCCCCAAGAACTCAAAGTCTATCTCATCATGCTCTGAGTTTTGAGATGAAAGCTGCAAAAAACTAGACATTACTACTTTCTCTCTCTACTATACATAGAATAGTAAACCCATCAATCCTTGCATAAGGAAGAAAAACAATGCCATCTTTTTCCCATTGTTTCTCTATCTGGAGACTTTCGTTCTCTCTCTCAGTGCTTACATTGAATGCGGTAAATCCAGCATTCCTTGTAAGAGAAAGAAAATCAAATGCATATTTTTTTTTCCAAAAGTTTCTCTCTGCATAGATTTTCTTCTCTGTCAAACTACTTATGGTTTCTCTCTCTAAAGATTATCATTCTCTCACACTTCTTACATATGGTTTCTCTCTCTAAAGATTATCATTCTCTCACACCACTTACATAGTAAGCAGTCACAGTTCCAGCTGAATCTCCAGGAACCATCTTTATATCCATACTGAAGTGACCAAAGAGATATGAACCTCTTGACTGGAACCCCGTACCTGAACAATCACACAAAAAAACATCAGAGGATCTATGGCTGTTTCTCTCTAAAACACCAGCTTTGGCAATGGAAATTGATGTGTTTTTATTATTTTTCTCCTTGACCTGTGTATTTATCAAGGACGAGCTGGGCTTCAGTTCCGCCATTGATGTACTTTATGTGGTCGAATGCCCAAGTGGGTACATAGTTTTTCTGAAATGGTACATTAATGGGTTTCATTGGAGCTGCAGCCATTACAAGACATGGCAAACCCAAGAGTCCAAGGCACAAAACCAGAAGCTTGGACCCCATCTCTAAAGGCCCTCAGTCCCTGCAAAAAAATCAGAACAGAGCACAGAGAGAGAAACCATCAAGCTCGAAACACCATTCAAAAAAATTGAGCAAGAAACAAAGATTAGGAAAATGAGAGGGGATTATCATGATGCTTTACCCCAGAAGTAAGAGTCTGATACGATAGCAGAGAGAGAGAGAGAGAGAGAGAGAGAGAGAGAGAGAGAGAGAGATGTGAGAAAATGGGAGGGGTTTGAGGGGTATTTGTAGGAGAGAGAGAGAAAGAGAAGAAATCTCCAGGTTGGCTCCGTAAGAATACAAAATAGAGTACAGCTATTTTGATGGACATCAATAATTTGCTTTCAGATATGTTATGTGGGGGATGGACCGACGGTTTTGAGGATTTCACGGGAAGCGGTTTGTGTTTTTCCTGCTTCCCATATTTCACCTACAGTCTCTCTCTTATCTATCTTTGACCCACCTTCTCTTTTTACTCTCTCTCTCCTGCAACAAACTTTTTCTAATGGCTCAAACTCTAAACAATCAAATTAGAGTACGTGGATCTTTGTAATACCCTTAAAATATATTTTTATTTTTAATTATAACATTTAAAGTTTCAAAAATAGGATAGATCACTCATTTTTAATTATAAAATTTTAAGTTTCAAAAATAGAATAGATCAGTACATCAATGAACACTTTGAAAATTTTAAAATTTGACTGCCCAAAATTGTATTACTAGATGCACTATTTCAAAAACTTGAAATCTATTTTTTTCTTTTGTTTATGCATCTTGACGTCAATGATCAATTTGAGGAAAGTTGAGCATCAAAACAACTTTTTCTAATAAATTTTTTGAAATGGGCCGTAATTTAATTGTTTAGAGCTTGAGCTCAGTATAAACTTTTCGCTTTTTGGAATCGGCTCTCTTTCTCTGATCTCTCCCACCGCATGCATGGAACTTTTATCTTTCTCTCTACAAAGAACTTTGCTTAAGTTATAATTAGCTCTCTCAAAGGCGCATAGAGCTCTCTTTCTCTCTCTTAATCAGCATTTTTACTCTTTGCCACTGCCATTTAACATCCCCCGACTCTCAACTTTTACCTCTCTTCTTGCTCTCTACTTTACCACGTTTTTAGCGTTTTATTCCTCAACTTTTAACTCACTTTTTGCTCCTCTTGCTCTTCCTTTTTGCTTTATAACAACCCACCCGTCTTGTCATATCAGCTTTGTTTGGGCTGCCGATCGAGTTTAGGTCTAGACCTAAGCAAAGTGAAGCGTGGTGCTGTTGCCATCTTATTGTCGGTTTTGTCCGGTTCGGATAAAAAATAATAATAAATATATAAAATAATTTTTTATTTTTTGCTGTTTTTATTTTAAATTTCATTATTATTTTTATATATAAATATATAATTCAAATTGAAAAAAATCCAAAACCTTCTCCCAAATCGGCGGAAACATGGAATTGCTTCATTTTTCTTATTGAACCTTCTCCCAAATCGGCGGAAACATGGAATTGCTTCATTTTTCTTATTGAACCAACTCCTAAGCGAATTTAACAACATTGCATCGCACCTCTCTCTCTCTACTTTTATCTTTCCAATGTTTTAATCCTTATTCTCTCAAATTTACCAATTGTTAGTCTTTTAACTATCAAGATTGAAATTTCAACTATCCCCTCTCTCTTCAGGTCGTAACAACCTGTCTTGGGAGGGGCCAGGGCCAGGCTTATGGTAGTACAATGGCAGCGCCACATACCCACTTTGGCTAAGGCTGCATTGACGTTTTGTCCTGCTCAAATTTTAAATCTCTTTTGCACACTGTTTATTAGAAATTTTAGCAAGATTTCTCTTTCCTCTCTTGGGATAATATTAAAAACGTCCCCAAATTAGTCTAAATCTCTTCAACATCCCCAAAACCCAACTTTCCATTCAATTTCTTAGAGGGAGAGGGAGTACTAATTGGTTCTAGAGAGAGAGTACAAATTGCTTCCTGGATAGTTCCTCTCCGGTCTTATCAGTTGTCTACTGGAATCACATTGATTAAAGTTACACCCAGAGGTTGCACTAAACATAACATGATGGGTCAATTCTACATTTTAAAGTATATTGATGAGTCAAAGATCTTGCTTTGTAATGTTTCCTCCAAGCCCCATATTCATGTCACAATGTGAGATTGCCATTTTAGATCGGTATAATCCAAAAATATTAATAAATAAAATAAATAGTAATGATACTATGAGACCCTCCGACACTCATGTAAGTAAGATTTCAATTATCACTATTAAAATTTGATACACATCTCTAAAAACCCCATTTATCCAAATCCTCACACCCACGTCATAACGTTTTTAGAGATATATGTCAAAATTTAATGGTGATCATTTGATGCTCTATTCACATAGGTGTGAGAAGGTCTCATAATATCATTTTTTTAAAATAAAAATTTATATTAGATAGAAAGAATTATGGGGGGCCAAAAAAACATTAAATATATTTATAAAAATTAAAACTTTAAAGGAGACCAACCTAGTCCAAACTTGAATGAATATTTTAATTTTATAATTATAGATGAAAATAAGCTTTCAAACCATCACAAAATTTATGATACCGAAATAATATATTTCGATACTACTTGAAGGTGCCCTTTATTTTGATTGATTAGAACTTGAGCTTTATACAAACCACAATAAATATATATATATATATAGAGAGAGAGAGAGAGAGAGATCTAAGACTCCAAAACAAGAGAAATATCGGGGATATAGGTGGGTCTTAAAAAAAATTAGACATAATTATAGTCTAGATTTTAGATGGGAAAGGTTTATATATTTTCCCTAATGTATATAACATATACAATTCCCCCCATCCTGTCGTTTAATTTACATTAAGTGAGCCACTGACGGTTTGATCCAAATTCGACTCTTTATAGTATTTTCTTTTTTATTGATTTTCAACAAATTATATGAATATGAAATTTGTTATGTGCAATTATCCAAATGGTATGCACATAAAATAAATATTAAAAAAATAATTAAAATAAGACAATGATTAAAATACTTTTAAATTTTTCAAAAGTATTTTGGCTATTTTATTTTATTGAGAATATTGGTTTTATATTTTTTACATGTACAAGTGTAAAAAAGAAGTGAACATTCAAAATTTGGTGTCAAAATATCTTGTAGAAAAAATATTAAAAATATAATACTTTAGAAGTATGACATTGCGATTGATGTATCTCATCTATCCATTCAGAATGGACAATTAGACAAGGGGGTAGTATATAAATTTTATACAATAGAAAAAATACAAAAAGCTTGCCCTTTCTCGATAAACACGTATTCAATATCTTGTACATGTAAGTAGAGACTAAAAAAGTACTACATGGGTGCTTTGGTAACTTTATACCTTCCGCCTCCTCAGGGTCTCTCAACCGGTTAAATAATAAATGTATTGCTCCCTCTGGAGTAAATTGTATGTTTGCTCCATCGTCCATAAGACCAACTTAGCAGGATATTTTCTATGAGAAACATTAGGGTGCAATATAGAACCTTCGGATAAGTAATTAAGTTCTAAAATAAAAAGAGTTTTGGATTTTTGAACACTCAAAAAAAAGATTTTGAAAGTCAATGTTTGATTTATTTATTTATTTACATTGATGAAAAACACAAGTTAAGTCCCCTTAAATTTGGAGTCTTAAAACTAAAAATACTCAGCAAGAAATTTTCTTGATCTATTAAATGTACAACTTGCTTCTGCAGGACCATTAAACCTAAATAAGATTAATTACTTATTGACATTTTGCCCCTCTTAATTGAAAAACAAACCTCCTAATTACCACGTAATAAAGTCTATTTTATGACCATTTATTTTACCTTTTAAAAGTTGCATAAGAAAATTAATAATGATTTGTGTCTTGTGCGCATGATTTGGGTGCACGAAAAGACACCCATGTGTGACATGTTGGTGTAAGGACTTCCATAGAAGACACGTGTGGACGTCTCTCCAAACCCACATGCATGGTCTTCAATAGGAGAAACCTCACATGTTCTCAACCAACACAAAGCGCTGGAAATTAATCAAATTATAGTGGGCTTGTCCAACTAAATTACCTTCCTAATTAAATATTATTTTTGGCTTATCATCTCATTAATGAGAGGGCTATTGCATTTATTGCAAGTATCTGGCTAGGCTATGAAATCAGTAGTAAAGGGGATTGATGAGGATTGATGGTTTTCTATACCTTATACACATAATAAATGATGATAAGCTGTTGAAGTTTAGTTGTTCCTCCATTGAATCTTTTAGCAATAAATTTGTTCATGGGTGTGGTTTGTATAGGGCTGAGGCCCCAAACAATCAAAGTAAGGCTTACTTTTAAGGAGTGTTACTTGTAAGTAGTGTTGGCAAATTTTTTTCGGTATTGAAAATCTTTGTGATCGTTTGAAACTGTATTTTCTTATTAATTATAAAATTTAAAGATTTTAAATAGTGTAGATCGAGCAGATCTATGAACACTTGAAAATTCTTGAAAATTGACGATACAGATTACAAGATGGATTAGTTCCAAGACTTGAAATCCTTTTTTTTTTTTTTTCTCATGTTCATATATCTTGAGGTCGAGATGATCGATTTTAGGATTTTTTGCCATCAGAAAAATCTTTTCTAGTGGATTGTTCAGGTGTGACTTAATTTAATTGTTTATGGCCTCGCCTTGATATAAATTTTTTTTCTTTATTAAACATACCTCAAAAAATGAACCTCAAAGAAGAACTGCATAAAGGAATGAAATTGTATAATACACGAGAGTAAGAAGTTCATAAACACCTCAAGCTTTCAGATCAAATGGTTTGGTCTTCTGATTTCTCCGCGCAGATTTTGAGAAAAAAATTTCAGACTTAATTTTCAATTAAAGTTACACTCCAGGCCACCAAATTTTACATCTAACAATCAGAGTTGAATAACTTTTTGATTTTTTTTTTTTTATCAAAGGTCAATAATCAATTATCTACCTTACCTAAATCAATACCAATTGATCGCTATATTCCTTGTTGTGTGTATACGCAACCCAATGTGTGACTATTTTCCAATGAATTCATATTCATGACTATACTCAATTTTGAATATGTACACATGAATGTATGAGTAACATATTGTTAATATTTATCTTGTTAATTGATGGAACCATTGTTTTAAAAACAGGCGAATCAGAACCGGTGAGTGGGTGGTCCGGGTCTGTAAATGCCTCGGATAAGTCTGGCTCCAACCAATT